GCATTCCTGTAAATTATTTATTTTTATTCTTTTTTCGAGTTCTCATTAGCTGGCGTGTGCGTGTGTGTGTGTGTTGCAATAATCTGCTGCTGCACTGACATGAAGGCTAACGAGCCGAGTGCCTGTTTGATGACAGCATTGATCTGAATGTGATTGACTGGGTTTTATTTGCATCGTTCTGGACCACTTTAACGTTAGCTTCAGGATCAATGGGGGAAAAATTTGGAACAATAAATATGGACTTTTTTTTTAGATGACTTTAAAAAGAAAATTATCATTAAAAAAACATGTATGCACATATTATGGTATTTAAGAATGCATGACAGAATGATTTTGAAAATATGCTATGAAGATGTTTTTACAAACAATCAGTAAATGAGAAAAAAAATCATTCTTTTAATCAAATGTTTTTTTATGAATGTTGAGAGAAAAAAACCCAACTCTTTAAACTGTGAGCAGCAGTGGGCGCTGTACATGTTAGCAGACCGTAGATCAGATGTAGCCACCGTTGGGTTTCACAGTTTTTAGAGTGTGTTTTTTCACATTCAGAGGTGAAGCAAAAAAAAAAAAAAACTCCAGTTCAGTCTGAACGGGTCTGTGATCAGAGGAGTTCTTTTAGAGGACGTTTTTTTTTTTGTCTTGTGGTGAAAGTTCTAAAAGATCTGGTAAAAAAAAGTTTGTTTAGTTGAAATCAAATTCTGGTTTTGTTTGTTTAGTTGAAATCAAATTTTGGTTCAAATGAATTGATATTTCATTCTTGACGTTAAAGAAACCTGATTGAACGGAGCTCAGATCTGTGAAAACGACATGAAGAGACTGTTGAAATGTTTGATTATTCAAATCAGAGTCAGGAGGAACTGTGACCTCAGTTTAAAGTCGTGTTTTTTTGTTCTGGCGACATATCGGCTCAACATTTAGAATTTCTTAAAGTGTTTTTTTGTTTTGGTGACATATCGGCTCAACATTTAGAATTTCACTTCACTGTGAAGGAGTGAAATTACATTTGGACTTTTTTCTTTCCCCCATTTGTATCTGATCTGAGTTCACCTCTGAATGGGTGAAAACACACTAAACCCTCGGGGAGAGGAGACGACAGAGCTGCGGTCGTCAGTCTGTCTGGGTGTGGACGACCTCACGCACACACACAAAAAAAAAACTCTAAAGAAAAGACTAAACGTTTATCGATTTATTGATGACAAAACAGTTCAGACAGATTAGTCCGGTGTGAGATGTCTGGTCGTAGCCCTGATCACACACTGGTATTTGTTTTTTTTTTAATTATTAAATTAAATCAATGAAACAAACTAAGAGAACTGAACTCTTATTTGACTGTTTATCCTTCTGCTTCCATCAGTGTTCAGCAGAAACTGCTGCGACCTCTAACATACATCTAAGGGACATTTCCATTCTTCCTTCTCAATCAAATTCAGGCTCTTGTTTGGATGAACAGCACTTGTGCTGCCGGAGCAGGTGTAGGTGACGCCTCGTTTTATTTTTCTTCTCTTTAGTCTGTCTCTCCGTCTTCCTTTCCTTAAACACAACTCAGCTGTTGAACTGTTGAAATCAACATATTTTTTTTGTTGTTGTTGATATTTTCTGATCCGCCGTGTGTATCATTTCTGTAGATTAAGTGAGAAATGTTGATTAGTGTTGCTGCTTTTGTTTCTATTTCATTTCCCTGTCGATGAATCAGTCCTTTCCCGGGACCATGCAGAGCCGCGTGTTGACCCACAGCACAAATGTCTGTATTTTTGTCTCTCATTGCTGTCGTTCTAACCTAAATACTGGTGCGTGTTCTTATTACTGCAGTTGTGCTGTGTACTGTAGATGAACCTGGTTCATCACGGGGTCCAGTGACTGTCATGGTGTTAGGATGAGGAGTGAGCTAAAAAAAACATCAACTGTGAGACCATGGAAGTTCATTTTTATGGCTATATGTAAAGGTGTGTGTGAAGGTGCGAGTACAAAAAAAAAAAAAAAAAAAGAAGAAGAAGAAGAGCTGTGATATCACATTGGTACAACGTCATTCTTTTTTCTACTTTGTTAAAGCTGTTCCTCTCCACTCTCACCACCGTCACATGCTGCAAACACTGCTGAAAAACTGGTGAGGAGAAGTGGACAGTGTGGTGATGTGTGTTCAAAAAAATCACACTATAAATACCCCAAATATTTGGAGTGAAAGTACAGGAGTGCTGTACCACCATACTGGATGTTTGAATTAGTTTTGTAAAATTTCTAAAGTAAACATCCTTAATTTTTAGACCATGTTAATGCTTTTAATTTGATTTAAAAAACAACAACAATGTTTTAAATGTACTGGACTTTACAACAGCCAGTGTGTATGACCCATAATGTGGTTAAAGTGTCCTTAACTGTAATTTAATTAATTTAATTAAAGTTAATTTATTAGTTTAATTATGTCACGGACATCAGAAACAAAGCTTGTCAACTCGACGAGCTAATTGCGGAAACATTGAAATCCAACATGGCCGCCGCCGCCAGAGCAAAGTTCCACCGTCCGTTTAAATACAAAGGGCTCTTTTGGAAATGAGAAAAAAAGAAAAGAAAAAAAATTAAGAAATGAAACACTGGTTGAAACTTAAATTATTATTTTTTCTAATTCCACATCCAGTCACACGGTGGACTTCTATTACAGAAGACAGCACTAACCTGAGAGTCTTCTTTGAAAGTTTTTGTTAGCGTCTGCGAGCTAAGACGCTAACAGACGCTAAAAGACGTTACTTCTCTGTAATCCATAGGGTTTTGCCAAAATGCCCCGTCCACCACCACAGAGAGGCAGGTGTTTGTTGATACGCGTGCAGGTGGAGGAGAGAGAGAGCGGACAGACGGAGACGACCAGTACATTTTTGGAGAGCGGACAGACAGACAGACGGAGACGACCAGTACATTTTTATATTCTGTATGTTTAAATTGCACTGTAATTTATTAGGATTCTTTAATGTAGCTCTAAATCAGAACAGGAGAGAGAATCTTTGAGATTTTTCTTAAATTACCTTCGGAAAGAATGAACAAAGTGTTTTCTGATGTCAGATTTAGATTTTATTTTTCAATTTCAGCAGTTGATAATCTGTATTTTTTTTTTTTTGCTCCCATGAATTCTTCAATCTGATCAGTTTTTAAATCACCTGACGACACAAAGAGTCTCTCTTTGGTAAAACAGTTAACCATTATTAAACCAGTGTTATACTTTATTCCTCCCTCCCATACCATAATAATAATAATAAAAAAAAGTGTCCTAAAAAAAAACAAGTCTTCTGTCAATCATTTTATTTTTAATCAATATCATTTCCATTGCAAAGATCAAGTGTTGACACCAGAAGAGTTCATCTCAGTGCACAAAAGAGAACAGTTTCAATAAATAAAAAAACACAAAACAACAACACACACATATGCACCACGGTGTTTCCCCTCATGTTGATGAAGACGAGGTTCTTCGTCTCAGGCTGGCCGACACCGATACACCTGATAAATACAAAAACGGTGGAGAAGGAAACGCTCAACGCACGAGACGAAAAACCAGAGCAGGGCGGACAGAAAAGTCAAAAGACAACGACAAACGAAGCTCAAACCGTGGCTGTGTTTGACATTTAGATTTTAGGTCAGCGTTCGTCGTGGTTCTGTTGAGCAAAGTGTATCAATACTGCCTGGTGTCTTGACCTCAGAAACGGTTTAGGAGACAAATCTGCAGGAGTTCTGTGCTGCTCCTCCATTATCAGTCAGTGCTGATAATGCAGGAGTAAAGGGGGATTTTTTATCTTGTGGTGCGTTGGCTTGGACTCTTCACACAGCAAATACGATTAGACAAGAAACACCCGATTGTTGCATGTGACCTTTTGTAACTTTAGTTTTCTTTTTTTCTTACGATTTTCAACAATATTGATTCAATTCTTATTTGACTTTAATTTTCACAGCAACATAAAAAAAAAAACCTGTAAAAGAGACACAAAAAAGAGAAGCTGTCATTTCTGTATCACTACGTCAGATGGAAGTATGGGCTGACGCACGCTTGATGAAAATCTGGCAACTTTTCCTCCCCAATTTGATCTCTTCTGTAGGTCAACAACAACTATTGCATAAAACAAAACCGTTTCACATTTGTTCAGACGTTCTTGTTGATTTGCAGCCACAGATCAAAAACGTTTGTGTCCGTGTGAAGTACGAACTTTCTGGAGAGTGTGAGACTGTGATCAGAGTTCTTTTTATTTTCCCCGTTGTAAAAAGTTTTCCTTTTGAACAACGGCTGCAATCACACAGTGAGGAATGGAATGAAGAGCAATCGGCTCTGTAACAAACCCTCACTTTGATACATCTGAAGTCTGACAAAACAAAAGATTTTAAATTAATTTAGTCCAATCATTGAATGTCGTACTGATAAGAGACAACGTGTGGACGAGGGCGAAGAAAACGGTTCCTGAATACCGGTCTGTGAGACCAGATGGATGAAGGTGGCAGCAGGAGAGGATCTGACATCATTAGCTGTGGATCTGGATTTGGCCGCGGAGGTGACTCTGCTGCTGCTGCTGCTGCTGCTGTTGTTGTTGTTGTTGTGGTGGTGGTGGTGAGAACAGCAGCACCTGTGTTCTTTACTGGCTTGAGTTCTTATGATTCAAAAGAGGGAAGAAGGGACTGACGGTGGGAGAGGGAGCAGACTGGCGTCAGCTCAGTGGGCCTTGGTTTTGGGCTGAGTGATTTTCCGGACGAAAGCGTACAGGAGTCCAAAGTTCTACAAAGAGAAACAGAACCGTGTTCAGCAGAAGAGTTCTGTGTTTGTATCAAACACACACACACAAACGACACCATCTGAAGACTGTGATGTGATGAAGAAAAGAGAAGTGGACTTTGCACAAGTCAGAGAGTCTGTTTACGACAGAGGAAATGATTCTTCCTGTTATGATTTATTTCTAGATAATTCAGTGGTTCTGGTGTAGCGGTTAAATACACGCCTTACATGCAGATGGGTTCGAGCCCCAGAGGAACCACATACTTAGGCTGACACTGTGAATTTGTTCATCATCATAGTGTGTAGATTGAGGGCTGTTCAGCTGTTATTGTTTCAGTTCCTTGGGTTACAGAGGCTGACACTGTGAATTTGTTCATCTGTTCAGCTGTTATTGTTTCAGTTCCTTTAAAGGTCACGTTGACCTTTAAAGGTCACGTTGACCTTGACTTTGGGACAAGAAATCTAATCAGTGAACTGATAAAATATACTTGAAGAGATTCCCAGCTGAGTTAATGAGTGACGTGGTTCTGTTTGTTGAATTTTAAATAATAGAAATGACAACACATTGTGATGGAGTCATTCGCCACCATGTGGCCCAGAGAGGTATTGCTGAATGTTGTGTGCAAAGAAAGGCCCCCGAACCCATCTTTGAGTTCTCAGAGACTAAAATAATTAAAATCAGAGAAGAATAAATGACAATAACGCAAGGTATTGATATCAAGTTAATGATTTCTAATCAGTCATTATTATTTATGTACTTCTTACGTCACTGCTGGAATATCACAGTAACTTTGTATTTGATGAAACTCGTTGATGATGAGCAGGAACACAGTAACGTACCTGGATTGTGAAATACATCAATCCTAAATAGGAGGCGATGCAGACGGCCAGCAGCAGGTCAAAAATAGCAGGTTTGACTCTGAGGGAAACAGAGCAGAAAGAGTTTGTTAAAGTTAAAGTTGAAATTAATCTGTGATATGTAATATATGTGAAGAAACTCTGAAGCTGCATGAGCAGAAAGAGAAGTTAATGAAAGTTACCTGTAAGCGTTCATGGTTTGTTTGAGCTGATCGTAGAAGACAAACTCTGGATCTCTGAGGAGCAGAAAGTTAGAAACATTCATGTTGGTATGGATTGGTTTTTATTTCTGGGATTAAAAAAAAAAAGGCCCCGTCCTCGTGTTTACCTTTTGTCAGCTTTCACGTAGTGTCTCTTGACGTCTTTGAGGTAGCGTGTGAGGTGATACTCCAGAGTGGACACCACGCTGCTGTCTTTGTCCAGCAGCTGGGCGGCTCGTGGCTGCGCTGTGAGCCAGTCAACCACAGCAGACAACTGTTCCTCCTGGACCTGCTGAGGGTTGAACATTATAATCTCAGCGTGAACGCCGCTGCTCCCCGCTAACGGGTAAGCAGCAAACGGGTGAACACTCTGAGTCTGGATCTGTGGGAGAGCTCTTCCTCTTTTCTCCTGACTCTGCAGATGTGTGTCACACATCCTGCTCTACTACGGTTTAACAGTAGAACACTGACTTTACTGATGATTGACACATTTCCCAGCAGTCTCAGTCCTTACGGTGGCATGACTTAAACCTTAAACATGCACTTTCATTATTCAATAAAATACACGATTAATCTTCAATTTGATAACGGTAAAGGTTCGTCTAAAGACCTGAAAATGTCTTTGTCAGGACTTGATAGAAAAAGAAAGACAGCAGATTCAGACTCAGTATTAACGTCTCCCCTGACCACCCACTTATGTTGGTATATGTTTTTTTTTAATAAAACTACTCTCACTTCATCACAGTTAATGCAGATGGAGCATGTATCTTACCATTTGTTCAGTAAAGATCTGCAGGTCTCCAGGACCGCCCTGTGGTGCAGAACAACAATTAATCATTTTTTTTCTAAAGTCAGAAAAAAAACACACAATTTTGTAAAACGATGTTGTTATTCCAAAGTCAGAAAAAAAACCCACACAATTTTGTAAAACGATGTTTTATATTTTCTCCATTTGTTTTTTACCTTTTCTGTGAGATTGTATATGACTCTGGCCAGTGCTTCGGCCACCACCTTTGTGTTTCTGCTGAGTTTACTAACATCAACGTGCGGCCTGTGATACAAACAGAGCGTTAAAGAAGAAGCTGGGAATAAAACAAGGGGAAATTCAGTCCAGACACAACCGAGGACAGAGGAGAAACTTCAAGGAAATCAAATGGAACAGGATGGAAAAAAAGGAAAGGTTCAAAAAGATACTACTTTACTACAAACCACACTTTGACACCAACCAAAGACACTGCAGAGTTAATGGAAGTGCACAAATACAGGATCTGATAATGGACTGAATGCCAGGGACACTTGTTAGGACTCAGACACTTGCAGTAATGAACCCACCCAGCAGGGGGCTCTCCTGCTCCATGGCGAGAGAAGGGGGACACTGACCGGACGTCCATGATGCTGGAGCGCTGAGCCAGGCGGTGCGAGGGCAGGTGGGACAGAGTGAAGGCCGGCAGGCGGCGGATCCCGAAACGCTCGTGCTCCCAGGCTAGCACGTCGTCGGCCAGGTTGATTTTCTTATGGACCATGGAGAACTTAGTGTCTGGGAACTGACTGCTAATCACCTGGGGGGTGAGAAGATTTGTAGTACAGATGTGTAACAGGATTTTATTTCACAGAGGCCCTAACGCTGAACCTACTAAGATCCACTGGAAACATCAACATTAGTCTCTAGAAACTTTAGACTCAAATTTCTTTGTATGTGTTTTTATATTGAGCCAATGAAGCTGGTTCAAACAAACAGCAGTGTCAGTTCAATTTTATGATCCAGTACGTACTGTTTCCAGCTCCTTGAGCAGAGTGTACTGTGGAGTTCCCTCTTTAGGAGGTTTGGACACATGGAGATGCAGAGAGTCTCCGTTTCCCAAAGTGTCCAGACACAAGACAAAGGCCACATTGTCCTGCAGCAGACTGGAGTCTGACGTCAACAAAAAAAAAAGAGGATCGGAAAGAAGAAGAATGAATTAATGAATTCACAACAAACACAAACCAGGTGTAAAAAAAAAAAACTGGACTAGTCTTTGCTGTGCTGTCTCTGTGAAGACAGTACCAGTCTACAGTAGTACCTGTGTGGTCTAGATTCTCCTCCAGCCAACGTTTGGTGCCTTGGTAGTTAAACTTTCCACCACCAGACAAAAAGAACAGCAGATTGTACCTGAAAAGCAAGGAATATTTCAACATTAAAGTATGATGTATTTCACACCTGGGCAAACTACGGCCTTTCACGCATTACAACAAATCAACTGTCATTTCTGTTGATTCTAATCTGGTCTACCAAACACTGGTTCAAGGTACGGTAAAGTCAATCCTCCTGTTTCACGCATTACAACAAATCAACTGTCATTTCTGTAGACGTCAAATTATCTATGAAAGTTTAAGCTCTAACTATGCAGTGCTGTTACAACAGTAAAGTCAATTCCCAATTACAAATGAACCTTTACTGTCTCACTTCATTTCAGATAGATACACTCAGACATAAACATAGGCCTGCCTCATGTCAAGTATTTAACAGTGTGTATCTGAGTGTGTGTATAAGTGCGTTCTACATGTATCTGTGGAAGCATTTAAAGCCAAGACACTTACAGCAAATACTTATGAGACGATGAACCACAGAACAATCAATATCACCTCTAATGTTTCTGTACCAAACCTTAACAGAGCCATACGGTGATGAGTGCAGCTTCACCAAAGTGACTGTGTTCACAGTGTGTGTGTGTGTGTTTGTATGTGTTATAACAGGATGCTGATGGAGACCGTGGGTTAACTAAAGTGGGCTTCCTCACCCAGCATGTGTCCTCTTGTAAGTGTAAAGTTTGGAGAAGAGACGAGCCAGCTCCAGTAACATGGACACTCCGCTGCCGTTTGAGTCAGCGCCGTATGAAAGCCACTGGAGAACAAAACAAAATCTGTAGTCAAATTACAGGAGGCATACTCCGGAAAAGCTAGAATGAAAAGTGTCCTTTAAAAGGTTTGGAAAAGAAAAATCACACTGAGACACACAGACGGGTTTCTCCGCTGCTTAAGTCTCTGGGAGTTTCATTTAAAGTTGGAAAGAGGAAATTCAATTAGTCAACTTACTGGGGCAACGCCAAAGGAGTCATAGTGAGCCACCAGAACTATAGTAGGCAGGTCTTCTCCTCCAGCTCCAGCCAACCGACCCTGGGAATGAACAGCAGTAACAACAACAGCTTAGCCAGAGACGGAGGAAAATAATGACAGAACAGAAACAGTAATCTGTTTCTCAAGGTTGAGCTAAACCAGAGTCGATGTGTTAATTAGGTGTTTGGAAGAGCTGAATAAGTCACAGGCAAAACTTCTAACCACAAACTCTCACTTTATTCTTTGATCCACTGCAATGTGACTAATCTGATTTTTTTTTTCTTCTGGCAGTCACTAATGCTTCAGACCAAAACCAAACCCACTACGACTGACACCTTTCTACAGAGCAGTAATGTTGTAGGGTGAATTGATTCCAACAGACTGAAGAATCTGTTAAAACGTGTGTGACTTGCATGTTAATAGGAAGAAACAATTAGGTCTTGGATTTTCCTTTAAAAGCCAACAGCTACATGCACTGGAATAGATTTAACATGTCAGTGCACAAGAAAGGAGGGCTTGAAAACAAAGTAGAAAGAAAAAAAATGCAGACAGAAAAAGAAAGAAAACAAAGGAAATGTGAAGTAGTGGTCTCTGTTGGGAAAAATCTACTTGTTGTTTCCAGGATTTCAGTTCATGTAACTGTTTTTGACTGCTTCAAAACTTAATTTTTTTTAAATTTAAAACCTACAAAACTGTTATTCCCAATGAATGAAGAAAAAACAATTTGTCCCACATTACCACCATAAAAACAGTCGTCGTCTGAACTTAAGGTAGTGCTCAGTCAGCCTTACCTCTAAACTGGTGATGGTCCAGTCACTGACGGCTTTGCTCTGAGCTCCACTGGTGACCATCTGAAATCCATTAGCTGTGGCGGTGTGCAGCAGCACTATAAAAAAAACAAGAAATAAAATTAAAAGACTAAAATAACCCTAAATGGATGGACTAAATGGATTAGTTTTGCATTGTCTGACCACTTCCTAGTACGATCTATTCTGTTTTCCACACATGGTGTTAACATAACCGTAAAATCCCTCCGTCAATAAAGACCAAAGCCTGTACCTTCAGCTGCTGACAAGGAGCCCTGCGAGGATGACGAGGTCTGCGTTTGGGTATAGATCGACATCAACTCATCGTCCTCCACAGCAAAGTAGACAGGAACGATGGTCTCAGTGGCCAACATCTCCGGCTCCAGCTCCATAAATTGCTGGAAGAAAAGACAGAGAAAAAACATGGTATTTATTTATAACTTTCAGTAGTTTAAAAGATTGTGATACGAGGAACCAATCCCGGGTTTACGTATTACATTTTACTGGTGATAAAAAAATGCATGTGCATCACTATCTTACCTGCACTATATCTTGAGGCACAGCAGACATGTTCTTGGGCAGAGTGATGACTACAGCTCCTGCTGACTGCCGCAGGGCTTTTTGGTACTTATCGTAGGAGAAGTCTGCCAGTCGCATGATGACACAGCGACGACTTAATACCTCAGCCTCCATGGTACGGGCCTCAGTATTCAGGATGGCATTCCTAGTACCTGTAGACAGCAAAGTTAACAATCATCATCTTTTAATCATACATATAAATGTGCTTTCTGTCTTCAGATATTAAAAAGGAAAAACATCTTTAGATCTGTGATGTATTTCAAGACCAAAAGATCATCATTAATGTCAACAAATGAAAAAACATTCCACAACCGTGTCTGTCGCCAGGAAGCTGATTATTTCTTACTTAACATCTTACCTTATCGTTTCTTTCATACATTTAACTAGTACTCTGCTTATAAATAATAAGTGGATATGGGGTTACACTTGGAATTAAAAATTACTTAAATTAAACAGCATATCAGTGCATTGTACGTCCAAAACGTCCTGTCAAATTTGAAGCCTTTATTTCCTTCGTCCTGTCAAATTTGAAGCCTTTATTTATTTTTTAACTTCTTATAAAAAACAACTTTAATTTGCATTTTATGTAATTATAGCTGTCTAAAACTCAGACTGGGCTTCAATCGCACAATCCAACACGAAACAAAAATAATTGTTTAATTAAATAGAAGTCTATTTAAACGTGAATCACTTTCACACTGACCTCCTTTCATGTCAACGACGATGAGGTCCTGGGAGCTAAGCTAGAGTAGCAGCTAGTTAGCCACAGCTACCCACAGTGCTGTCATTCAGTAAATTCTCTTCAGAAACAAAACCTAATAACCAGCTAAGAATAGACTTATTTTGGACATTTTCTCCGGTGACGAAGTAAAGAAGCGGAAACCTACCGTAGGGTTGTCCCTGCAGGTCGTACTGCTGCATGCGGTACACCGTGAACTCGTGTGCAGCCTCGGCCGGGAGCGGAGACACCAGGATCAGCACCGCAGGTATAAACACGATAAACGTTAGGGGAAATGACGATTTAAACATGTTTTCAAAGACTTCACTCGCCTCCTCAAACATTTTGGCGGTTGTGTGGAACCCAGCGGCCGGGATTAAGCAATTTACTTATAGTTGTCACCGCTGTGAGATACTGACAGCCGGGTACTCAGGTCAGCTAACCGAATCGGAGCAAACGCCACATTATTCTGATCAGGCAGATCATTGGCCACCTCTTACTCTAAATGGAGACAAAACAAGTCAAATACGACCCGTGGTTTTTAGAAATGTGCGAATAAATTTTATTACGGATATTTAAGCAAGTGTAATGTATATATATATTTAAACTAATCGGTCGTCCTTCAGGAATCTTGTCGGTCAGCTATATAGATACATGTACTTTCTTGGAGCGATAGATGGCGCAATTACACCATCTATTAAATTTACAGCCATCTTGAACGCGCAATGTATTTGGATTATTTGCTCTATTGTGTTGCCCAAGTGGCGGTTGAATTTTCCCGGATCGCCATTCCGGTCCAAGCGTTTATTATCATTTCTTAAGTTATTTTGAGGAAACCAAAACACAATAATATCGCGGTACTTTGCAGGTGAACATCTGTGATTTTTTTTTTTAATTTATTGGCTTATTGGTTATATTTTTGAAAAATGTAACACATGTTACTAATATACTGTTACTATAATTTCACTGTTAATTATGTCAAGTCAATTATTCAATACTGAAAACATATTCTTATAAAATTAAAAAAAAGATTGTTTTGAAAATAATAAATGTCCCTGTGAAGTGATGGTTTAAGTCAGACCCTAATTAAAAAGGACAACGAGCATAAAATTATATACATGTCATGTTTACACCCTTTAGTTTTGTGTGACTGATGTGCAGTTGCTATAATATGATTTCTCCTCATGATCACAGAATAAGAATGTGCTGTATTTTTAAAAAAAGACTTGAATTAAGAGAAATGGTATATGTTCTTACAGTTATTAGTAACAATAACACTCAACCGAGAGCAGCTGTAAGAGCTGAAAATCAGATTCTCCACATCTCTGATGTTTCTTTTTTCGTTCTCTCTGTCATTCTCTCCGGGGCTTCTCTGCTAAGTGGGAGATTAATGCTGATATGATGTCCTGCCATTGTACCTAATGGACCATGGCGTCATTATTTCCTGTATATGAGTAATCCATGCCCATGCAGGCTGCTGAGAGGGCCAGCAGCACACAAAGCATAAAACCAATTTAGCGTGCATGTTGAGAGTCGCTGTGGCGAGTTCACATCATTGAGAAACGATGATTTGGAGAGCCGCTCAGATGACTCAGTCTGGTCCAAGAAAAACACAGCTACTGTTCCATGAACGGATACAAGTAGAAAGAACCAATTGTTTCCTCAGGAAAGTCGTCGTACTTTTCCACTTCTCTGTGTGTGTGTGTGTGTGTGTGTGTGTGTCGTACAGTTTGAACACATGCTGTTATCATAGGATCAGCACAGAAGCTGAAGTATATGTTTTCAAACCATCCATTTTGTTTTGGCACGTTCACCTATGTGAAAAATGTCAAAACAGATGAATATAAATGTCATCTTAATTATGTCTTTCACTGCACGGACTTCAGGTTAAGAGCAGCTGCAAAAAAGGACTTTGACTTCAATTCTTCCTCCTGTTTTTTCATCTCTCTCTCTCTCTCTCTCTCGCTCTCTCAAAGTGTCTCTCACACACACATATACACAAGTTGTTCAGTGTCTTTATTTCTTTTCAGAGCTCCTGGGAATGTCCCGTGTCAGACCAGCCTTTGTTTGTGACCCCTGACCACGGAGAAACACTTTCCCTGTGCTGCGACACAGAAGGTCTCACTCTCTCACTGAGTTCTGGGGTAAGTACCAGAGACTTATCAGAGATTGGCCACCGCTCCTCAGCTCTCCATCACTGCCTCCCATTCTTGGATGGTGCCGTCATTTTCTCACCATGCTGACAGGTTGCTCAAACACTGGCAACACGGAGGTGCGTAGACCACATTGGGATCAGGTCAGAATCCCAGAATACCAGAGTTGTAATGTAAGAAGAAGAATGTGTTGGTGGTCTGATCTGTCCACACCTGATCTCCACACCCACTCTGTAGTACACTCTGAAGGGAGTACTGAATAATAGACAACATGAAAAATACAGAATAGTCGTTTGCACAAGAGATACATGTGTGAAAAAAGAAATCACAATACTTTGATGCACATACTTGTAGGTAATACTGTAAGATTTTATGTACATGTACAAGTACGAATTAGTGTGGGGACGAGTTAAAGATGTCAAAAGTATGAATTGTTCACAGTGAATGAACCAATCTGTTTATAATCCTTAAAATATTTTTTTTGTTTTTCATTCTTATTTGCTCTCTTTTGTCTTTCGTCTCTACCCGTTGACATGTAATGTGCAGTTCCAGTTAGTCCAGTACCAGGTTTTTTTTTTTTCCATTCAAACTCCACATCCTGCAATAATAACTGGATAGCACACACACACACATATATATATATAACCTACACAGCTATTTTTGTTTGTTGAGTCTATTAATTTCATAAATTTCCCTCGCCTCATAAATCGGTCTCAGAGTTAAACAAACAGGCTCAGTATTTTTAAGTACTCGTGGAAACTTCTTTTCATTTACTCATTTTACCAGTAGAGGCCACTAAACCTTTTTTAGTTGTATTTCCTGGTCTGTTTTTATCCCTATAGCTTATTTCGTTCAGCGCATATATAAAGTTGGCTGTTTGTGTATGAAGCAGAATTTCATATTGATTAGCTGTGCTAATTTTCAAATATCTAATAAATTTTTATAGTGTTGTGAAACGACTCAGCTTAAATGGTCTTATAATTAAATTAGACTGAAAACTCAGAGACCAAAGTAGAGGGTGAAGTTAATTTATATTTTTTATACAGATTGAATTAAAACAAAAACAAAAATTTTTTTTTTTGAGCATTGTAAGTTGTTTTATAAGCTTGAACTGCATTTAAATATAAGGGATTTGTTTGTTTGTTGTTGTTTTCTTTTGCCCTGAGATGACAACTGTCTCTCAGTTTAAAATCCAACCATTATGTTTTGCCCTGCTGATTTACAGCGTTTCTGCGGCTGCGGCCCGGCGGAGGTAATATTTCCCTGCCTTCTTTACGTACCAGACAATTGATTTACCAATCTGTTTCATTAGGGCCAGAGGAAATAAGACAGAGAAAAGAGAGAACATGGGCTATGACAGCTGAGCTGCAGCCACTAAGACCATCAACCTCTTTGGTTGCGCGGGGCAACAGTCAGATAATGGATGAGGAGGCCTGCTGGAGCCAGCCGTTCCATTAGGTTTTGTTAATGTGGTCAGAGGAGGTTGGCGTGGCTCATCCGCCTTTAGATCCACTTTCAGAGATGCTCACTCATGCTGGCCTGTGAATTCAATCTGTCTCCTGCCTTTTCCTCTGCTCTCATTGTTTTGTCTTCCTCAGGAAACTTCCCTTTGTGCTTTTTAAGAACATATATATTGGGGTTTTTTTTTTGTTTTTTTTTTTACTCGTAAATGTTGTCTGTCATTTTCACTTCTCCGTTTCTCACCTCATCTTTCCAATTCTTGGGAGCAGACGCGTTTTGGGAATGCTGTTTTAGATTAGCGTGTGGGATTTTTATTTTTTCATAGTTCTGTCACAGTCGTTGCACAACCGTATATAGAGTACACATTGTCTCTGAGTTATCACACCAAGGGATTTGTGGTGGAATCGCTGCTTTTGCAATACAGAATTTCTAGAAGTCTATCTTTGAACCTCGGCGCTTCTCTAATTCCATACTGTATTAGCATGTCAGGGCGCTGCGTGTGGTAACCTGGAAACCCCAGGGTTGTGACAGACCACTGCGTGTTCTAACTTTGTGTGAAGTGTACATTCACTGGGTGGGACGGAGTGAAATTCATGAATGGAGACACGGGTGTGTGTGCTAGTTCATGCGTGTGTGGCAATCACGGTGCTGGGAATCGGAGGTCTTGTCTAATGCCTTTCCTGTCTGTTCTTTCATTGTTTAACTCTTTGAGTCTCGTCGTTTTCAAGACCAACTGTTTCTGCTGTTTGAACGCCGTGGTCCATCAGGGCACTGGTACTGTTGTTTTAGTCTGGGGGGGGGGGGGGGGGAAGGCGGGGGGTTCTCCGACTCATATGAGGTTACAGCATATGTGTCAAACTCAAAGCCCGGGGGCCAAATGCGGCCCGCCAAGCCGTTCTGTGTGGCCCGCGGGATCTTAAAAAGCAGTTAGTAAAGTTCACGCAGCCGAGTTTCTAAACCTGAGAAATGAAAAGGTTTTATTTATTACACAACAATGAACAATATTTGCAGCTTGAATAAATAATAATCAATTGCAGAAACATGTCTGTTATTTACATCTATATCAGTGGTCCCTGACCTTTTTTTCAGCCAGTTCCACCTGTTATTACCAGATTATCTTTAAATAAAGACAGTAAATGGATTTGACTGGATTTTCTTTGAATGAAGTAAATTAGTAAAAATTAAGTACCACTGTGTTTTCCACTGTGTCCCAAAGTGACCTGTTACCAAATGACCTATGGACTGGTACTGGTCCGCAGACCAGGGTTTGCAGACCCCTGATCTATACAGTCAGTAAACATTTACAACCAGCCCTTCAAGGGGAACTGTATTGATGATGTTGCCCCCTGGTGGCAATGAGTTCGACATCACTGCATTAGAAGGACACATCAGTGTTTTGTTTTAATATAAAATCCCCAGATATTATATATATCTATATGTATACACCCCCCCTCCCCCCCACATCCATCTGAGTGACCCTGGTGTCTCTACCTCATGTTTTCATGCGCTGACACAAAGGAGGCCTATGCCCCGCTGAGCTCCGTCTGACCTTCACCCGCGGCTCCCTCTCCCTCTCCCTCTCCCTCTTCAGCTCGGCGCTGAGCTACCGCCCCAGCCGCCTAATAAATACAAAAACAAATTGCAGCAGGTTAGAAGTATGCAGCGTGGGCTGAAGCCGTTAATGTAATGAACTTGGCTTTGTGGAAATACGAGGCAATTAAACTCCCACAGAGCCTCCCTTTGGCCCAGACATACTGAAGGTGGAGTGTTAGAGTTCTGGAAGAGAAAAAGAGGGAGAGAGAGAGAGAGAGAGGCATAAACGGGGAATAGGACTATTTAGTCGGCTCGCAGGAGTAGGAAGTGTGCTGACTGTGATTGAGCCTAAATACCAATTAGTCAGGAGGCCGTCTCATCCAGAGGTCGTGTCGGGCCCGAACGAGCAGCGCTGGGCCATC